TTGATTTTTTTTTCGATTTTATTTCAGTGTGGGGCTTGTGGCGACGTTGGCAGGGTGCGCTGTTGAAGGAAAACCAAAAAAAGAAAATATGACAGATTGGTAGGTCACCATGATAGGCCGTTTACTGCTACAAGGCCTCGTGGCCGGCTGGTCACCGTGCACGGCCCCGGGCGCGTTCACGAGGTAGTCACTGCTCAGTGCTCACAGAACAACATGCTTCCCTAATCACAGGTAAACAGCTCCTCATACGAGCGTGTGTGTGTGTGTGTGTGTGTGTGTGTGTGTGTGTGTGTGTGTGTCAATGAGCATTTCAAACTGCGCTATCTCCATGATCATTTCCCAGTACAGTAAATCCTCACATCTGAATCTTCATAAATTCACAACTACCCCATCAAATTACATCAGTCTGTCTCAAGGCCCACAAGGGCCACAACAAAGAAAAAACACTACAGATCAATTCTCCTTGTTCAGAGTTTTTCTCCCCTTCAAACACAGAAACATTATGCGATCCATGACCATGATGACCCCCCACGTGTGCATGGCCTTCCTCCCCTCTTCATCATCGTCATGCTACCTTTCAACATCCCTTTGACGACTCTTCCCACCTTTTTCACGACGTTCACAACTACTACCCCATCAAATTACATCAATCAGCCACAACAAAAAAAAAGAAAAAAACACAGAAGACGCAGAGAATCTATTACATAATCCATGACCTCCTTGTCTACATGACCTCTCTTCGAGTCTCTTCACTCTTCATCACGCCCCTTTCAGAACCCTTGCAAGCTGCACACATAGTCGAGTTACTTGAGTAATATTATTACATCCATGAATCCACCAGAATTGAACTCATGATCTGTATCTCAGGAATATCAACAGCCAACTTCATATGCATTCCCATTGGCCATGATTCCACTTAGCTATGTGGCTGCAGTATTGCTTCTTCTTATCCTATTCTGACTGAACAAGCCTTTCGTGAAAAGTAGACATATCGTGAAAACTGGACTGAGTCAAAAACTACGAGAGTAATTTTCAAAAAACTATTTTTTTTTCATTTCTGGAACCCATGTTCCATTTGCAATCACCAAGTTTTTTTAGAAAACTAGTATTTTGGGAATCATAACAAAATGGAGTCAACAAGATAAACAGCAAATCTAATTTAGTGAGTACCTCAAGGCTTAAGGTTTGTTTGATAGAAAAAAATATATTTTTCGGGGAGTTTATGCACAAGTACACAAACAAAATCAAGCTTATGGCATTTTACAAGTATTGCCTTCAATCCCCCGCCTTCAATCCCCCACCTTGACCCACCTTCCCTCCCGCACCTTCCCCCACCTTCCCCCCTCCCGGCTTCACCTTTCTCGGCCCTTTGGCTAAAACCAAGTTTGGTATCTGTTTTGATCAGTTTAATATCTGATCCGTGGCCCATCAGGCCACTGAAAAAAAAAAGAAAAAGTGGCCAGTGGCCACCTTCCTTTCCCCGCCTTCCCACACCTTGCCCTGCCTTCCCTCCCGCACCTTGCCCCACCTTCCTCCACCTTGCCCCGCCTTCCCCCACCTTCCGCTGCCTTCAATCCCCCACCTTCCCCCACCTTCAACCTCCCACCTTGCTCTGTCCTCCCTCCTGCACCTTCCCCCGCCTTCAATCCCCTGCCTTCACCTTTCTCCACCTTTTGGCTAAGATCAAGTGTAGTATCTGTTCTGATCAATATAATATCTGATCCGTGACCCATTGGGCCGCTAAAAATAAATAAATAAATAAATAAAATCCCGCCACCTTCCTTTCGCCACCTTCCCGCACCTTGCCCCGCCTTCCCTCCCGCACCTTGCCCGCCTTCCTCCGCCTTGCCCCGCCTTCCCTCCCGC